GGCACTGCCGCTGGCGTACGCTGGAAGCGCTACGCTACGCTGCGCTGCGCTACGCTGCCGCAAAGTATAAACGCAGCCTAACACTTCCACGTGAAACGAGTTTCCGCCTACACTTACGTGACACCTCTCGCTACCACCCATTTAGGATGCGTTCATACTTTGCGGTAGCTTCCACAGCGACCATCAGCGTTTCGAGCGTCCGTCAGCGAATAGGAAAGCATAGATATCGTTTTAGCGAGCGGCAGCGTCTCAGCGTCCACGAGCGACAATCAGCGTCTCGAGGGACTAGCAAAAATGAATGTCGATCTAGCGTCTACAAGCGTCCATCAATGGCCACCAGCGACCAGGAGTACGGTATTGTGTAGTAGTACGGTGCGGTTGCACACGCCGCAATTCCACAACGCCTAATCCAGCTGTCTCCTCTTTCCTACTTCCCATACTCTACCAGCAGTCTGCTACCCTCCTACTTCTCCATACTCTCTACTCCTGGTCGCTGGTGGACGCTGGCAGACGCTGGTAGACGCCGGTAGACGCTGCCGTTCGCTACATCAAAACTTATACTTTTCTAGTCGCTGACGCTGACGCTAATGATCGCTGTTGGACGCTGCCGCAAAGTATGAACGCAGTCTTAGGGACTCCTTCAATGGTCGGTTTTCGCGACTGAGTGTTCCGCTAATAGGCCGTGGGTGGCCTTGCTTCCAAATCCGCTACCTGCTGCTATTTTTTTGGGAATTTAAACTTGTCAGTCATCACTTACCACTTTTCTTTTCAGGTACATTTTCATGTTCCAAACACCAATTATACCTGAGTTGACAGCTCAAAGTCGAGATTTTCATATGTTCGATGTGATGTTCCGTGGTAAAATGGCCGGTATTCGGAACCGTGAGAATTTCACCGACGAAGATCTAGAAGCATGGAAACATGTGTTTAGTCAAAAAGGTATCGTAGAGAACATCCATTCGATTGAAATTTGAGTAAGACGAAACTGATCCGGTGCGTCGCCAATGCTCCCACAGTATCGTGCTTGGGGACAGATATAGGAACTATCCATCTCGAGCTGCTTCTGCGATTAAGGGCAGCGTGCGCGTGAGCTTTAATGTGACTAAGCCCAGAGTCCCATAGACGAAGCTCAGAGTCTCATTTCAGAGTTATTGTCAGTACAACTAGACGTGACACAATTCACACAGCTCCGCCCCCAGGAGGGCTTTATGCCACAATGTGGTGAGGTTCAGGATGATGGAGCGACGGAGCAACGTACCAAGTTCTAGTTGGCACACCAGTCGCTCCACCAGTTCATGAAAGCGCAAGGACATTATCGTTCTTATTGATAACGGCAGCAACTTCTCTGAAAGCTTATTGGGTGGATACCGCTCAACGCCTATCGACCGCGTAGGCGCTCGGTCTCCCTCACAGAGGAATCAGGAATGTTAGGCGGCCGCCGCCGGGCGCCGCGGCCGGCCCCCCGGCGCCACACAGGCGCGCCGCTGTTATGAGGAGACGATAGTTTCATATACCGGTACGAAAGACCCTCGCTTCTTTCCGTTCGCTATGTTTTCTGAGCCCTCAGCTCCGAGAGATCACCTGTGTGACACCGTTGCCCGAAATACAGAGAGTAACCTCAAAAATTAAGCAAAACGACCCCTAGCGGCATGCACAGCATCCTTTACCGCCGCCAATGCCCGATCTACACTCGTTTGTCTCCGGTCGTTCTTGCCCTTGGTTCAGCTACTGCATCGTCACCCTCCCCCGCCCCCCATCCCGGCAACATGGAAATGCAAACAGTGCACGACGCTGCTTCAAATCGGTTTTTGGAAAGCTTGGTTGATCGAAGCCATATTCTATCACAGTGACAGCCCACAACAAGGAAAGTTAATTTCTGCTATTCTGGAGCTTGTTTCTTCCTAATGCCTTCAAGGCTCCTTGTTTAGGTGCCCTCCTGGACCAATAAACTATTACCGTAATGTGCCGAACGCTCGTCCGCTCAAAGGTGAAGACCGCATATGTAAAGTTGAAGTTATAGAGACCAGAAATAGAAGGATTCCCTTAGTGAACTATTAACTTGATTTGTCTTCTGTCCATTTTTGTATTCATACGATATCTTGGGCAGCCTGCCCACCCCCCCCCCCCCTCTACATCCTTTGTGGAGATGAGGAAGCGCAGTGTCCTAGCATCAAAGAAGTGAGCTATCACGAGTCTCCAGGTGAAGTGTTCACTATGTGTGTCACTTTCTGAATAATAGAACGTTGCAGTGATTATCTTGGATTTTCTTTTCTAGTATTGCCAGCACGGTCAGTTGAAGTTCATCGAAGGTGCTTCTCACTGGGTGATGCAGGACGAGCCCTCTCAAGTCAACCAATTAGTGGAAGAGTTTCTTGCCACACCCATTCGCGAACTAATCACGCCTTCTCCGTCGAAGTAGCAGAGATTTAGTGATGTATATGTTGTTTTCCTTCTAAATAAGTTGCTGTGAAGATAAAAATAAAATTGTGGCCGCAATGGAGTCAAGAGGCAACGCAGCGGCTTTATTGTGCCACGTCGTGGTGTATAGTCTACTTCGCTACGGACGAAGGGTCGTCTGGTCGGGCGGGATAAGTTTGGCGCCGTTCTCCATCGGTTGTTAAAGCGAGCAAGTGACAAGAAAGTATCAATCGTTAGTATCACTTTTTCTACCAGTTGTTGTTGCATTCTTGCTACAAACTGTTAGAGAACAGGTTTGGTGCTGTAGCACGCATTGCTGCTTGGCACGCCCCTTCATCCGAAGCGAACAAGAGTACATATACCCAATCTCCAGTATCAAATGGGAGAATTTTGCATTCTATCAATTTTAAATGTGCTATGCATCTGAAATTCACGGAGACCTCACTGGCACCAACGAACCTCGGGTACTTGCCCAGCTCGATACATGGTAGGAGTCGTAGAACTCCAAAACACATTTCGCGATAGGCCGTCCAAAACGCTGCTCGAAGTGGAATTGAAAAGAAGTGCTTGTACTAGTTGAGGCCATCAAAAACGCCTCCAACGGGGTCGTCTTTGTTCCAAGTAACAATGAAGAATGATTTGTAGAGAGTTCAGACGAGAAAGCAAACAAGTGAGACAGCAAGGGCACCGAGGAGACCAACAGT